ACGAGCTTGATGACCTTTTCGGCGGCTACTAGGCCGCTATTTCCTTTGCGCGATTTCTCTCTGTATACGACATTTACGATTCTCCCGGGGCACGTCTCTCATCTATTCCTCCTATCTATTGTATTCTCTCCTCATGTCGTTTCATCATTGCGTATGTCCTAGATGGATTCCATTTCGCCGCTCGCGCTGCACTACACACTCTAGGGATGTTGATTTATCGCATGGAGTTCTTGAGATCTGGGTGTCTAGGAAGGAATTCTGTAAGATAACTGTAGAGTGTAGCTGTGCGATTACCAGCCAGGAGGCCTGGCTGAGGCGCTGGATTGTTACTCGGCGTCTGAAAGCGCGAATCTGCGACTAGGTGTTGGCCGACATTTTCCAGAATGAGGCAGTCGCCCATGGCGACGAGAAATGAAGTAAAAGGAACGGAACTACTAGATAAAAGTTCATGAAATTGAAAAACAGTTGATATCCTTCAGAACAGCTCATCTAAACAAGCTCTCGAACGAACGTGTCTGTGATGTCGGCAATCTCGATTGTTGCCGACCAGAGCTGGTGGGCCGGGTTGTCCCCTACCAACACGTACTCTGCGCTCACCGCCCGAGTTGCGCACTTCCTGCACCTAACACTACACCTGGCAGTGGTCTAACGCATAACAGCGCGAAAATTGGGCCCTCACCGGCAGGGCCATCTGCGCCCAATGCGGCTCCTACGATGCGGTGTATCCTAGCCCCAGACAGGAAGGGACAGAGACCTTGGCGCTGCGTTGTTGAAGAAGTTGCGGTCGAGCGAGATGCGCTGGAGAACAGCCTCACTTTTGACCGCACACGCGCACACCAGCGGGGTTGACGAGTAAATCTTTGCATGCTGCTCCAGATTCTGCTCATCCGCCTGGTAGAATCAACAATCCCGAGGGGTAATCGCATGTTCGCAGACAAGAGGCTGGGTAAGCGAGTCCAATGACTTGGGCACCCCCAGCCCTGTACAGCAAAGCTTTGAAGCCGAAGCCCAACCACTCGACGTAAGAGTGCGCTGTGCGCTGCGCGACACGTCCGCCCTATTTCCTTTCCCATATTGACCATCCGACCCCCTCGGTTTCACGGATTCCTGTGCCCTGCGTCAAAGTGCTTGCTGCAGGTTCCCGAGGCTGATGAGGAAGCCCGTTGCCTCGCTTACTCCCGCCCATCAAGTTTGAAGAGTTGGAACGGAAGAGCTGGAAATTGTGAAAAGAGGAGGCTGGGGATCCGCGACACCCTCATCCACTGCCCATCAGACGTGCGATCGCTACGAAACGAAGCGCGTCTTTCCGGCGTCTTTGCAGTGGTATACGAAAGGCCATTCGCGGACATAGCCCAAGGCTGCCAGCAACACAACACCAGCAGAGTGGATAGTCGACACGTGGATACGCAACAACCGGGTTAGCCGCATTGCCAGTCGCCAAACCTCGCCGCGGGCGTAAAAAGCTCACGCATATCGACGTAGCCCGCTCTAACTCCCCTTGGACTTGGGCTGCGTCTACTCCACGACAGCAACTGCCTTTTTCAAAGGCGCATCAAGCAAGAGCCAGGAACCTCAAGAAAAGAATGTCTGTAGCACTATCCCGAGCGCGGAGCAGAAGTCGGGCGCCGAGCACCAGAGCGCCGTTAACATCACAGCCCATCGTTGTGGATGTTCCGCGAAGTGGGGCTAAATCACCACTCATCATTGATGTGCCAGCACCAGCACCCCGCGCAAGGAGCAGAAGCGTGCGTAGCATGCGCGAACCCATGGTCGACGCACCTGGACTCAGCGGTGGAAGGGGCATGTTCAAGAGGCTGATTGTAGCGTGTGACGGAACTTGGCTAAACTCGGACGATGGGACCAAGAACGGTACTCTTTCCATTCCAAGCAACATCACTCGCATATCAAGAGCCATCAAGGCAGTCAGTCAGGATGGCATCCAGCAGATTGTCAATTATCACCAAGGTCTTGGGACGGAAGGCGGAAAGCTCTCAAGATTGGTTGGGGGTGCTACGGGCAAGGGCCTGAGCGATGATGTTCGAGAGGCTTACTCGTTTCTTGCCAACAACTATCACCCCGGAGACGAAATCTTCTTGCTCGGCTTCTCGAGAGGCGCATTCACCGCGCGTAGCATCGGTGGCTTGATCGGAGAGATTGGTCTTCTCACAAAGAAGGGCTTGAACACGCTACCAGAAGTGTACGAAGATGTTCAAAATCGGCGGAACCCTGACTACCGCCCAAAGCACGAGGACGTACCTTTTCCGCGGAAACCAAGCGCAGATGACCCACGATACGCGGAAGAACTGGAACGCAGAGGATTGACCAGACTGGACATTCCAATCAAGTGCATAGCGGTGTGGGACACCGTTGGCAGTCTCGGCATACCGCGGATCGGGAAGCTGCAGCGCCTGGGTTTACAAATGAAGCAGTCAAAAGCGACGACTTTCTACGACACCAAGTTGTCTAACTGTATTGAAAATGCATTTCAAGCGTTGGCTCTGGATGAGAATCGGTCGTCGTTTTCACCTGCCGTCTGGGAAAAGCCTGAGGGTAACCGAACGACGCTCCGCCAAGTATGGTTCCCAGGTGCGCACGCAAACGTTGGTGGTGGCTACGACGACATGCAGATTGCGAATATCAGTCTTGCATGGATGATGAGTCAACTCGAGCCATTCCTGGATCTGCGGTCTGAGTATCTGTTTGAACAAGACGATCTGAACGAGAAGTACTACAAGAAAGAGGAAGGTGCGATCCGACCATGGAGTTTCGGCAAGATCTATAGCGAGCTGAAGGGCGCCTTTGCAATCGGTGGTAGTACTGTAAGTTTCAATCGTTTGCAGTCATACGCATACGTACTAACAGAAATGATAGCAACGAAAACCAGGCCAATACACCTCCGTAGACCCCTTCTCAGGCCGCTCAACAGAACGACCCCTCCGCCAAACCAACGAATACATCCACCCCTCAGTCCGCACCCGCTACCGTCTCGAAGGCCCCGGAATCCAAGATCGCGGCCTCTACGAAGCCCGCGCCCTAACCGACAGCTACAAACTCGTCGTCGACTACGGTGCCAACAACTCCCGAGCCGGCGACGCAGAAGTCTACTGGAAGATCAAATGGAGAGACACCATGGCCGTCAAAGTCCTCCCCGAAGCCCCTCTCTGGCGCCTAGAACGTGAACTCGCAAAACGTGATCCAGCTACCTACGACTACATCAAGAAGCCACCTGCCACCGCTACTACCCGCAGTAAACGCCGCACTGCACGGCCTCTTTCTGCGGATTTCTCAAACAGCAAAGTTGGCGGCGGACTTACGAGTCCTACTTCCACGCGCAAAGCGAGGAGGGACACGTTTTCTCCGCGGTCGACGTTCCCGGCCGAGGACCGCGCGCCGCCTAGCCGAAGGAGTACCACGAAGATTGAGAGACCGCGCAGTAGGAGTCGCGCACGCAGTGTCGAGTTTGCGAGTGATCGGGAGACGGATATCAGGGAGAGTATGCCACATCGCAGGGAGAAGGATAAGGCATGGTGGGAGGGACGGCGGTGACGAAAAGCTGATTAAACGCGCGATGTTTCTTTAGACTTTCTGATTTATACTTTCGGTTGACTTCATATGGAGGGTTGGATATATGCGGATACCCTTTTAGATGTAATACGATTCGATACTTGAGTGTGGGTGTAGTCTTGGACAAGTCACTTCGCATCGACGTGACGCTCGTTATGCACAGTCATTCTCGGACTCAACAAGCTGATGAGAACATTCTTTTGTTCAACTACCAGCTGCCATGACAAATACGTATATCGATAAGTACCGTGGTGCTGGAATCACGTGGTCATGGGCACGTTGCCACTCGGTATACCATCAGTAATCCAACGTGATTAAACGGCGAACACCCAAACAACACCTAAACTCACAGTACTTACAATCAGACTATCGCAAGATGAGTGCGAATAAAAGAAAGATGGTAAACCCGCCTACCAAGTTTTGGGTGATCGACCTCATCGGGCATACCCACAGATCTCCTTTCTAGACCCTGGTGCGTGAGGCTCGATCGACGAGGGGGACCCTGGCCAAATCTTCGCAGTCAACGGTTTCAGTGAGTAATGCGCGGACCGACTGCTGTTATGTGTTATTTCTTCCACAATTGCGATGATGGCGATGATGATGATGAAGATGGGGTGAGGTGACATGATGTGCTGTGTTGTGATGTTTGCAGCGGAGGTGCAGCAGGCGGGATGTGAGTGGCCAGACCACAAGTCGATGATGGCTGCGCCGCCCGCCCATCGCTCGGGAAACGGACGTGCGAGAATATCGTTTTCGTGCGTGGAACGCGCAACGCTGCATGACAAGGCCGTGTAAGCAGCCCGTCGACTCCACGATATTCTCACGAGGCATAGCAGTGACGGTCCATGACATGTTCACCTCCTCGAAAAGTCTTGTCCTCGTAATGTCCAAGCCCAGAATACGATGGGCGCATTGATGCTTTCCTCGGAACAATATCGTGTTGCGGAGCCCTCATGTTATATTTAGGGTTGCATTGCCCTCTAGCGCTAGTGTCTCTCGGGCTGCCCCCTGCTTGTATCCCATTCGCCGCCGCCCGCCGCTGGGCTGGTGCTGCTGAGCTGGGCTGGGCTAACAAGTCGAAGCTGAGACCATCAAACCTCTCCTTTCACTTCCGCCGTTGAGACAAAAACCATCAATCGCTTTATCGCTTACCTCGAACCCGTCGCCTATCTTCACCCTTCGCCAGTCGCTCGTTTATACGGACGGAGAGGTGTTATTACTGTAATATCCATTCGTCGTTTCTCCGCGTAATACTTGTGTCGCGTCGCCTCCGGAGCTCTTCTTCTCTCTCCCGTCCCGTCACGCCTGAGAGTTGTACGATACCTGAGATTCCACGAGGAACTCTTCCCGCTTGCGAAACGAGGTTTTAGCCGGTACACACGTTTTTGGAGCTTCGAAGGACCAAAGGAGACTTGTTTAGGCATCATTTGGACAAGATGAGGCCGTCTCAGCTCCTCGCTGCCGTGGTGGCCATGTCGTCGGTTACGCATGCCATGAACGTCAAGCATGCATTCGACAACATTAATGGGTTGACTGATGTCAAGAACGTGCTCATGGGACGTCAGGATAACAGTACGTTTGGTCAAACTCAGGATGAGATGATTGAGTACTAATGCCATGGTTCAGACAACAATAACAACAACGACAACGCTTCCGACGCACCCGCCAGCACACAGCCCGCGAAGACATCCGCAGCGGACAAACCCACCGAGACGGGCGGCAACAACAACAACGATAACAACGACAATAACAACAACGACGACAACAAGTCCTCCGGCACCGCAAAGGAAACCGCCAGCGGCACCCAAAAGCCCAGCGGCTCCAAGACCACCGGCAAGGGCTCAAAGTCCACCAGCTTCGACGCCCGCCTTCCCGCCGGTGGCCTCACAATGGTGACCCCCAACGCCCTCGCCGGAACACAATTCTACAAAGTCGGCGACTGGGTAACTTTCGCCTGGAACTACACCTCCCTCTCCGTGACCCCCTCGGCCATCGACGTCCTTGCCTCCTGCACCGCCAACCAAGCCACCTACACCATCGCCGTCAACATCTCCGCAAAGCAAACCGAGGTTCTCTGGGATACCAAGCACACGCCTGATGGCCAGGCACCGTTCTTGACCGAGAACTACAAGTTGCTCATCTACGACTCGGATCTTAGCGCTACTGCTGCGCCGAGGCCCGGATATCTTGGAGCCTTCACTGGCTTCACTTTTGGCATGTACCTGCCGCAAGAGTACATTTCGCTCAAGGATGGATACACTTGCCCTAACTGCAACGGCGCGCTTTCGCTTTCTGAGAAGAAGACACTTGCTGCTATGCTGCTTACTACTGGTACGACGATTGGCTCTATGCTTTACTTCACGTACCAGTTTGGTGTCTGGTAGATGAAGCGCCTCTTCGATACACGTACACGTACACGTAGATCTACGAAACGGCAAATCCGACCGATAAAACGCAAGAACTCGACGCTTCACCGCTTACGATTACGGCATATCACAAAACACTTTCTTTTTACGCCAATCTTCACATCTGTCCATATTTTGCCACTCATTTACAAAAAGATTCGGGCGCTGAGGGTGGGGAGTGATATACGGGAGCATCGTCACAATCCTTTTGGGGCCATTGAGGCATCTGGTGTTTGGGAGTTGTTATATGGGGCTTTGATTGGAAACAATGGTGTTCTGCATTTGGCTCGAGAGTATAAGATATGTAATACTTGGATTGCTTCGAGGTAAAGATGGGTATGCAGGGGGGATATGTATATGTTTGGATGGATGTGAAGGGATGGCAGTGTTGCTAGCATCTTCGTCATTTAGATTGAAAAGAGGGAAAACAAATGATAAAATATGTTAAGCACTTCACTTCGGTTTGAGGGTTCGCACGTGGGGAGGTTGTTGTGAGATGTGCAAGCTAACGGAATCTATGGAACAGGACAGACGATGGATTCTTTCGCAACACTACTAGTCGAACGGAACTCGTATGATCTACTTGTCATACACACGCCTCTCTTCATCAGATTTCTCGTGCGCTTTGAAGCCAGCATCCTTATACAGCGACTCAGAAGGAGACAATGATACCCTCCATTCTTCACAGCGGAGGTGCAGCTTCTCCGGTCGGTAGTGATCATCGCCATCATCACTTTTCCACAATCTGTGCGACGAGATGACGGCCTGTGCGTCTTCATCTGCATATAAATAGCCCCTGTTTAAGTTCTGACTCTCTTCCTTACATCTACATCCATTCCTTCAATTCCAAAAACCGTCTTCGCCGCGTTGATGTGTGGAGAGGACGTTCCTCTTCCAAAAAGCTCCAAGCTGCTTTCCATGTGGAGAGTCCGCGCTATGAGCTTTACCTTTCAAAGTATGGTCTTTATTACTCATGTTCCACCCGCTGCGATCTGCAACTCTTACCAAAACGCAAAGTGCTTTCATCGATGGTCCTCTCTGTGCGAAAACGGTTATTCGAAGAAGCTATGTCTGTCGCCTGCTGTCACCAAAAAAAGACAGGACAGTCCACTTATGGACATCAGAAAGAAGACCTCAACTATTTTATGAGCGGCACTGCCTCTACAAGACACGATAGCGCATAGTGTCTTGGTGTCGGTATAAATATCTACCCGCTCACACCTTCACACTCTTCTTCATACTCCGCCCTATTCTCGATTTTCCGAAAATGACACTCAACTGGATCATGTCTGAGTCGTTCTTCCGCGTCTCCCAAAAGTTTCTGGATCTCGCTCTATGTTGTCGCTCCAGACCTTGCCTGTTACCTAGGTATTGTCGAAAACATCTTATCACTTCCCGATGTCTGCCTCCTTGGACGGGCGGCGAACATCTTTGAAATGAGAGATATCTCGGTCATCTTCTCCATCCAAAAGATCAAGAAAAAGAGGAATGTCTTGCGCCTGCCGTTGAAAAACGTACCTGAAAGCCAACATGAATCCCAAAAACACGAGGTCTTTCGCCGATGACAATAAACGCGACCTTCAAGAAAGCTATGTCGCACGGGTCTTCTTGAGCATAAATACCTGCCACTTGGACGACACTTACTCTTCTTCATCACACCAACTCTTCCAGTTCTTTCCAAAACATGTAACGGCTCACTCGATGTTGGCTGCGTCTCTCGCTCTCCCAAAACTCCATCAAAATACCGATATAAACGCTCTGCGCCGTCCCTACTATTACCAAAAATTCCAAGAACAACCACTCATATCTTCGTCTTCGAGCGGAATGCAAATCAATTCAAAAGCGAAGACGCTACCTTTCATGCTGGCCGTCCTCCCTGAACGCCAAGATCACATCCCGCGTATCTCTTTCCTTGCATCTCTTCCTGCGCATAGGAATATCCGTCACTTGGACACCCTCTTCTATTCTTCATTCCAACAAATAGTTTCTCTTCTCTCCAAAAATTGCCCCCAGTCCTCTTCATGAGTTCGGGCGCGTTCTGTGTTCCTAAAACTTCGGTACACGCTTCGCATGTGGACGCCCCGAGCAATACTTACTACTATCAGAAACAACACTGCACACTTTAGATGTCTCTGTTCTCAGAGAGAATCGCGACTCAACTCAAAAACGGGCGCATCAAAAAAATGGTCTCTTCTCCGTGCGAGTGTCACATCCCGCACGTGGGTTTTGTTCTGACTCTGCGCATATAAAAACATACTACCTGCCCTCCTCCTTCTCTTCTTCATTCCAACCACTACCCTCCTTTCTCCAAAAAGCAACTGTTCACTTCGCTATGTGTCGCTGGCGCCTTCTGTCCTCCTCAAAACTATGTGACTATGAAGCTATGTGGACGCTCTGATCCCCATCCTCTATCTACTCAAATAAACAACGCCACCCTTAATGTCTTCTTTCTCGGCTGAGATGAGGCTCAGTTTAAAGTCGCAAACATGATCTCAATGTGTCGACTGAGTTCGCTGTTCAAAAACAACGAAACCTCCAACATGTTCTTTGCCTGTTGGCACCAAAATCCCAGCGGGCTATCAAAATTAGATCAGAACAGATCTGCTAAGACCTGATGATCAGAGCTGTTTCACGAACTGTTTTACAAGATTTTCAGGTGGCTGGCGCCGTGTCGTGGCGTCTGTTATGCCCATTCACCGAAACCTCCAAAAAATGTCCAAAAATCACCAAAAAAGAATACCTGGGATATCTGACTATAGCCAGACGAATGCTGAACAGAGTGGGACTCGAACCCACGCCACTTTCGTGACCAGGAAGTAATGTTAAGAGTAACCTTAACCTGGCGCCATAACCAGCTCTGTGAATTTTGTCAGATTTTGGGTCAGGGAGACAGAGGAGTGTTGTTGAGCTTACCGGCCATCTGTCCGTTGGTATTTGATTGGTTGATGGAGGGAGCGAAAATTATAACAGCTATGATGTTGGTTGATGGTTGGAGATGGTGGAGATGGTGCGGTGAGAATTTTCGGGCGGGGTGTGGGCCGCGGAGGAACTTGGAAGCTAGGGCGGCGGCGACGGCGGGATTGTGGGGACGGGATGCATCGTGAAAAGTATCCAGTCTTTCTTTGCGTGAATAAGGATGAAAGGGTTGCTTGCGAAATATGATCGTGGTGTTGGTGCATTTCTTCTTGGGCCTGACTCTTGTTAGCGTGTTGAGAAAATGCATCATTAATCTCACGTCATGCGTAGAAGGCAAGCCATTTCGTTGCAATAAACATTCATGGAGGCTCTTTGTATTAGGAAAGTTAAGTGCAATATGTGAGTTCGTAGCCATGAGCTCATGCTAAGTTGAGGGTGCTGAATTGTCTATAGTAGAGCGGACGGGGATCGGAAAATGAAAACGTTACATGTGCTAAATTGCGAAATGAGAGATACAGGGGTATATAAGAACTAGAAATCGGAAAGCATCTGCAAATGAGAGTTCTGCGTTCGAGAATAGGCCACAAGTCGTGGGTGCGGGTAACTTCCAAAGAAGGCGGAGTAAAGAACCAACGAATTGGAGAATGCGCGCCTACGATTGTTGCATCTATCGCGGCGCAGTGTCAGTTCTGGAACTTCTCAAGATATGAGGCTTAAACTTGAGAAGCAACACCGAAGCGTGTCGTACAGTAGCTTGTTCGAGTGGAAAGGTAATGTTACTCCGAGTAGGGCGAGGCCATGGGTATGGTAGAGCGTAACTGATCATGTGTGCTTCTTGTTGAAGTGCTTGAGCATGTTGTCCTTCCTTGGATATGACTTCTTGCAGTCAGGTTCAGGGCATCGAACCCGACTCCGGGTGCCTGATGACTCGTGACTTTGGCGGTGTCGTTCCAGATCTGCGCGAAGACCGAAAGCGCTCAAGCATCCGGGATAAGCACAGCGGTGTCGCTTTTCATGTTTCCGGCGGACATGTTTGCTAATGTTGCGATGGTCAGTGCAGTCGCCATGAGAGTTGGGCTTTCTGTGCTCACTTCAGTTCGCATGTGCGCTGGAAGATATCGTCGCAGAAGCTGCAATGGAGTGGCTGGAATTTGACGTCCTTTCTTCTCTTGATGGTAATTTTGTCTTCATTTTCAAGAGTAACGGAGCGTGAAGAGAAATGTTTGGGAATATGATCAACACTGGTATCGATGATGGCCGTAGGGTATATTGAGTCGCTCAAGTCGCTATCCGCAATACTGCCGTTTGAGGGCGACGACCAGATCCCTGCAATAGGGGTACTTTCGCAGCTGATGGTGGAGTCTCGAAAGGGTATTATAGAAACTTCCGGTGGGTCCGAAAGTGTGGAAGGAGAGGAAACAAGGCTATGATCTGTGGGTTCGACTTGTGGTTGAATGCTGGAAAAGGCTTCCGAGACTTGCTCCAGTCGCGTCCCAGTCGCTTGGTCTTCCAGGCCTACTACAGACAGATGACGAGATTCCAAGTAGATTGAGATGGGTTCGGACACGTTCGTAGAGTTTGTGTCTATGAATTGCTCGCTCGGTGGTATGTTTGGACGCACGTATGGAGCATGAATGACAGGATTGACATTATACTCGACTTCGTAAGGCGAAACGAAACCCGAACAGCAACAGATAACACCGCTGTGATTGCCTCCCCGACTGTCGTGGACAGACTGGGTTACACGACACGAACAAGGCGTGAGACATTGTGATGTAGTCCGATACTGAGTGGGATATGGCTCTCGCGAGATGGCGAGTGATGGCGAAGACTATGAGGCTTCGCCAACCCAAGGGTGATTGAGTTGGAGTCAGAGAAAACGAAATGTCGGTTGAAGAAGAGGGGAGGAACACCTGTCGATAAGGACGAGGTCTAGGCAATGATTGGCCAGAGGCCGTATGGCCGTGAAGGGTTATAGCCTCAGGGGCGGAGCTCAAATGTAGAATGACGCGAAATTCTGCCCCGAAGTTTTGTCGCAATGAGCAAAGGCAGGATTAGCAGCAGTTTATACCCATCGAACTGCCTGGAGGCGTACTATGCCTTAGGCTGAGAATGCTACCAGGTAAGCGGGAAGTTGTAGGGTAGTGTTCAGCCACTCGCCACCTGCAGCACCTGATAGATATGCGTTGGCGGCATATCCTGGTCGAGTAATATCGTCATAACAGATCCAGCCTTGTTGTATGCCTCCATTCTCGCGGCGTTGTGAGAGTAGGGAGAAGGACGCAGGCTCGGCGGGACGGATGCCGGGAGGTCTGTGCTTCTGAGGCCCTTGTCCGCTTCGAGCCTGATCTTCGCTGGCAAGAAACACCTGCTCGCGCGCGCGCCCGCGTCTTCACGCGTATTCTATCTATCGTCAGCCACAAAATCTTTCAATTACGCCTGTTGGGACGACCTTCCTGCGATGATGGTAGCACCGCCGAAAACCTCACCTAGTGGACCTATCGTGTACCGGTATGCCATGCACAAGGCTGGGATGCACAGCAACCAATGCGCCCACACGCGAGTCTTCATTGACGAGGGTTTTAACGACAAATGCTCTCATTATTAATTATGTGGACTAGATCGTTACCATAACGCTCTACTCCCTCGCGGCACCAGTACCCTCTGGCCAGAACTCCTCGAGCCACTCATACGGGTTCTCCGGAACATACTGGTTCAAGATCTCGCCCTCGAAGTCGGTAAGGTGGTCACGCGTCAAGTTGTACAGCGCGTACTTCTCATCCGGCCCTGTTCCGACAGTGTATGGGACGGTCTGAACGTTGTTTCCGATCTCCTTGTCGACCCAGCGCTCGACGTCTACAACCTGGGCGTTCTTGATGCGGTACTCATCGCCGTAGTTGGGTGAGATCTATAACCGTGTTAGTCGAATGAACTATGAAAAAGGAGGTCGTTGGGGGCTTACTATGCCCATTCTGGTACCATTGACGGCAATGACGTTCTGGATGGTGACGTTACGCTTCGCCTGGTTCAAGCAGTTGCCGCACGACTGGTAGAAGGTGCCGAAGGTCTCGGCGTAGAATCCAGTGATGTTGAACTTTCCGCCTAGCGAGTTGTCCTGAAAGATCTTGTCGGTTGCGGAGCGCGCACCTCCCCCGATAACGCGAAGCTGTGTGTTGAGGCCTTTGGATGTAAGGGCATCTTCACACACGTCCTCCCACCAGACTGTCATAAAAGCGTTAGTATGCTGGTCAGGTCAATTTTGGTCTCAGAGCTTACCATTCTCGACCCATGCATCGCCAAGCGCGTGAATACCTTCGCTTTGGTGCTTTCCGATGACCACGTTCCTGATCGTGGCTCCTGGTAGCAGATTGAAAACAGCATCGGCATCTGTTCCTTCGGCCTGCTCGTTGCACGAGCCCTCCACGCGCTCATAACGCTTCATCTGCCCATCGAAGACCTGACCGGGCTGAATGTACATGGTCTCGTTGAGGACGACCGTCTCAGTCGGTACCGGGAACTTGGTAACCGGGAAGGGAAATCGTGGAAGAGGTCGTGCACCGAGATCGCCCTGAGTGGAGTCTGCGCCTCCTTGGGGTCCATCGCCATTTTGACGACGGATCACTGCTGCCGATGAGAGCGCAGGAAGAAGAGGGAGGATAACAGAGGTAGAGAGCTTCATCGCGACGACTGGCTGTGAAGTATGAGGGTATTTGAGCTCTTCTGACTGAGATTCTAGGTCAATTGAAGACTGTCGAGATGCAGGAGAGGTACTTTGCATTGCTTGCAGCTGCCCTAGCTTTTATATCACCTACAACACCTCCTCGCCCAGCTCTCCATCCGTCCAGAAGCCTCATCACGCGCATTCTTCTCACGCGATTCCACTTACAACCCTGGCGCGACCGTTTTCCATATGCTCATGTAGCTGCACAGGGTCATAGCTTCCACAAAGCTACCCCGGCATCACAGCCTCCAAGCCAGCGGAAGAACTGGCATCCAGGTTGTTTCCGTGAATGACGATGCGAGAACCGTGGTGTAGTAAACTTGGCGCAGATTTAACCGATGTATCCCCAGACTATGAGATGCGTCGCCAAGTGAACGCCTCGTCTTGGTGACATTTTCCCACGAATAACCCCACGACTTGGCAACCTGCTTTCGCCAACCCCAACTTTCCTCCCCGCGTATCGTAGGTTACTTCTGCGGGGGACAAGGGTCTAATTTTCCTGCGCCCTGAGCGGTCGTGGCTTGTAGTGGCTTGACGTACAGGATTGGGTTGCCGCGGCCGCGCTTCGAAATTTTCCATCCTCTGTTGCGCAAAGAATCTCATGGTATCGGCGCGTTTGACTCGAAAACGAGAAGGATTTTACCCACTGAATGACGGAAGGAGATACGATCAGGACGTGTTCGAGGAACGTGGATTGACATGACTTCATTGCCAACATGGTAAGCCTGCTAAGCAACCACACAGCTGATGACAGTCGCATACCAAGCGACTTACAGAACAATAGGCCCTCAAATCCAGTTTTCAGTCATCTCCCCCAAGCCCTTCTCGAGACTATCCCATCCCGAGCCCGGGCCCTTCAGCCAGCTCATGACTTCCTCAGCCCTGGCATTTGGCAATGTCATTCGGTCAACACCCATGCCCTCAATATTGTCCAGAAACTTCCGTTCAGGATACAGTTCACGCCATATATCCAACATCTGGTTGTAGCTCCACGGTTCTGCAAAAGCAAAGAGACGTTCATTTTCAACATCGCTGTGGATCAGCGCGGAGATGTGTACGAGCGCGCAGTCAACCGGATGGACGTACCATTGTGGACCGACGGAAGTTGTCCAAAAGTCGAGCTGTTCGCCTTCCCATGCAGCACGTGCCCAACCGATGGTTGAAGGAAAGCCTTGATGCTCGAGGATCACGACAGGGCCAAAGTTGGCGTTTGGCAACTATCTGGGGTTAGCGATGGCGTTTCTGGAGCATTGGGATTTCTGCTTACAACCCGGTTGAACACGAAGCCGGGCTGGTTTTCTTCCATCCATTTCATCATCGCCTTCTCGGTCTCGGTCTTCATGGCGGCGTAGACGAACAGCCCTGGTTTACCCGGCTCTTTCTCCAGAATCCTCAGCGCTTCATCATTGTATGTGTTCTCATTGATTGAGAATTCCACATCTGGATGAGGAAACGTTGCGGCAAGGGATGACGAGGTGAAGACGAAGCCTTTGCATGAGGGTACCTTAGCACAAGCCTGGAGACCATTCAGACCTGCCTTCACGGTAATCGAGATCGCTTCATTGACGTCAGAAATGCCTCCGATCGGCGATGCGACGTGGACGAAGCCTTCAATACCTACAAATCAATTTTCTTTAGTATTGGAGTCCAAGCCATCACTAATGAGTCTCGTTTCGACATACCATCAACAACATCATCGTAGCACCCTTCGACTGTCATATCCGGCACCTCGACCAACTCAAATCTCGCCTTCTTATACTTATCGTTGAAGTACTCGGTCATGTATTTGTGTTTCTCGGCGTCTCTCACCGCACCGCGAACATTGTATTCTCGCTTCAGTAGCTGATCAACGATATGGCTTCCTACGAGCCCGTTCACGCCGGTTACGAAAACGGTCGCACCGGGCTTGATAGTAACGATAGGCATGGCGTCAAGTAAGGTTAATCGATGGTTGGCTTATTTCTGGGATATCCTGAACGTGCTTTGGGACCTGCTCGTCGATTTCGCAATCCGCACTGATCTGAGAGCGAAAATGAGGAAGAAAGATAAGAGTCGCAAGGCTAGGAAGCGCATTATATTCACTACAATGCATGTGGATGGCTACCAGGTTACACAAGCTAACTGTTCTGGGAAAGGCGGGGTCGACATGCTGGCTGCTGGGCCGAACGAACACCAGCGACATATGCCTTCAGGCTTGAGATTACTCCATTCAAGGGCTCTGGTCGATGATTGTAGCCTTAGCACTACACAGCCTTGTGGCTTGCCCTCTGGAGACCGGCTTTCAACGACATCCAAGCTGTGAAGGTTTTGCAATGTCCATACCAGATCAAACCCGACGAAAAGACTTATCGCACGTACAGAATGCTGATCAGAATTACGATAGGCTTCTCTAGTCTTTCCCGAGCACTCTATCAGTTGAAGAGACACTGAAGGACCTTACGGGATAGGCTATCGCATCAGATCATCGACCATGGCGTCAGGTGACTGACGCTACCGAGTTTCTTCCGACCTTGCTACTCCCATGAAGAACAGTCTTCTTCCTGCAAGGTAAGACTCGAACAGCAAACGGTCGCAGGTATAAGATGTTCGGAAGACATGCTAACCGCGCTTGACTAGGCTTGCCAACCTATGCAGGTGATCCAGTTTTGGTACATTGGAACGAGGAATGAGACGAATGCGAGCATCGATGAACAATCAACCATCCGTTCCACCGCGTAATGGGAAGGGCTAGAAGAACACCGCGATGACCAGAGGAAACGGCACGTGGTTGATGAGGAGGCGAAACCTGATGCCTCTGCGGCTGGGTCCTTACCAACACATGGATATGAGGGAATAGACGACGGCAACGATGAAGAAAAAGAAGATAATGGCGCACGGGTGGTGGTGTTATTTCCGACGGCATAGATGCTTTCCAGGACGGGCGGCAAGGTCAGCAGAGGAGAATAAATCGCACCTGTGGAGTACAGACATCACAAAGATGTGTGAATGTGTCCGAATACTTCTTTGCGCATCGGCACGTTCTGAAGCCGAGGATGAAGATCGGTAGAGGATGTCTCAGATTTCCAAGGCGACACCAGAAAGATGAACAGAATGGCAGCCACGAAGCACGCGTAATTTTTCCGTACGGCATGATGACATGAGATCATCGCTGTCTACCCGTTACGAATGTGCACGTTTGTAAAACAAACTAAGCACTCCACGATGTCGACTTCTTCCACCGGTTGTAACCCGGCGGTACCTGGACCGCGGCTCACCCCACGACTTGGACGATCCAACTCCACGTCGCAAGGACGTACGACATCTTAATCACTGTGCCACGAGGACCAGATATTTCTCTCTTGCACCTCTCAAAACATGCCTTTCAACATAACGATGAGTCGTTGAACAAGCATACCAAGCTTCTATTCTCCGTGAATCCTGAAGCTTGTCACCCCCCTCTCATCTTGGCGAAATGAAGAAACATTACGCCGTTCCCCACAAAACCCAGCCTAGTCGTTTCACTCCAACACCACGAACGGGCTCGAAACCGCTCACCGGGTTCGAAAGCAAGCCAAAAAGCGGGTCGACCATCTCGCTTGGACTAGCCGCCGCCCTCCGAAGGCTCCGATGACAGCACTGACAGCTCCAGATGCCGGGAACGTCGCACAAGCGACCCATCTCCCGTGTTTCTTGCTCACAGCCACTCAATATCACCGAGCTTCTCGGTAATGATCGTGAAACGGTGGGAACAATGCGGAGACTACGTGCCGCTACGCCGTCTTCTGGAATGTAGGTCTCGAACGGGTTGGAAGCGCAAGGACGTGACCCTTGGAGTACCTACTCTTACCATGAGATGATAAAAGCGCTACCTACCCACCCTCTCTATCATTCTCCATCACATTTGTGAAGTTTCAATCCTTTACTTCTCCTTGTGCTAGACCGCATTGTCACTCCTTCATCTATTTCAATCCTTACTCCCTTTATCTAGACTTCGCTTCAATGGCTCGTTACTCCTTCGCATTCGCTGCTCTAGCAGCAAGCGGTGCCTACGCTGCGCAGAGCGCAGCATACACACAGTGTGGCGGAAAGGGCTTCACCGGTGCCACCGCATGTGTCTCCGGATACCACTGTGAGGTCCAGAACGACTGGTACTCTCAGTGTGTTCCTGGTGCCGGTGCCGGTGCAGCAAGCCCTGTAGCAAGCCCTGTTCCTACAACCATGATGACTGCCACCAAGGCACCCGCTGCTAAGACCTCATCTCCAGCAGCAGTAGCTGTTGCCGCTCCCAGCAAGGCTGCCGTCGCAGCCAACGCGGCAGCCAGCTCTGGAAAGACCCAGTACGCCGGTATGAACATCGCTGGTTTCGACTTCGGATGCGACACATCCGGATCATGCAGCGGAGCCTACGTCGACCCCGGTGCGAACGGCATCGCTCAAATGCAGCACTTCACCAAGGACGACAAGCTCAACATCTACCGTCTCCCCATCGGCTGGCAGCATCTTACCGGCAACACTCTCGGTGGTAACCTCGACGCCACCGTCAGCGCTGCCTACGACAAGCTCGTCCAAGGCTGCTTGGCCACCGGCGCAGTCTGCCTTCTCGACCTCCACAACTACGCCCGTTGGAACGGCCAGATCGTCGGCCAAGGCGGCCCAACCAACGCACAATTCGCGGATGTCTGGACCAAGATCGCGACCAAGTACGCGTCCGAGAAGAACGTTGCCTTCGGCCTGATGAACGAGCCCCACGACCTCACAATGTCCACATGGGCCGACTCGTGCCAGGCCGCCGTAACCGCCATCCGCAAGGCCGGCGCCAAGTCGCAAATGATCCTCCTCCCAGGTACCGACTACACATCGGCCGGTACCTTCCCCACCGCCAGCGGCCCCTCCCTCCTCAAGGTCAAGGACGCCGACGGCACGACCGACAAGCTCATCTTCGACGTCCACCGCTACCTCGACAGCGACAACTCTGGCACCCACGCCGAGTGCACGAGCGACCACGTCGAGGACTCCTTCGTCCCCCTCGCTACCTGGCTCCGCGACAACAAGCGTCAAGCTATCTTGTCTGAGGTTGGTGGTGGCAACACTGCGTCGTGCGAGCAGGATGTCTGCGCTGCGCTCGATAGCTTGAACAAGAACAGCGATGTGTACCTTGGTTACATTGGCTGGTCGGCTGGTGCGTTTGATCAGAGCTACGTGCTTGGTTTGACGCCTAACGGCTCCACTGACCGCGAGTTGGTTACTAAGTGCTTCAGCCGCGCTTAGAGTGGTAGGCCTATAGGCTTGAGCCTTGGTGCAGGGTAGATCTCATCGTTGTTGATGCGTGATACTTTCGGTAGTCGTATTCTCTTCTTTTGTAGATCTTTACAATCAAACTTTTCTTGATACCTTCAATGGTGTCGAAACTCAAGTAAATGTTCTTGTGTCGCGTGAAGTCCTCCGTTGGGTGAAAATGGCTGAAGTTATCTGCATGATACATGGACTTCACATGAGGGTTCAGAGTAAGCGGAATAGGGCATGGTGACAAAGTTTTTTCTAAAGCAAACAAGTACATGATCCTCCATCCTGCGTCATGCATCAGAGTCAACCATCACGCCCCAGTATTCTGTTCCCGTGGGCAAGCAAACAAGCAACTAAGCAAGCAAGCAAGCAGAAGTACACGTGATGCTGCCAGGGAAATACAAGTATGACACCAACCCCTCCTCGCAGAGTAGACACACAAAGTCTCTCGTATACCAATCGTCCTACATCCAGACTCGTATATACCTCCTCCTTCCAAAGAAACTTTTGTTTCAACGAACGTGGCAGTGCTAGTCGGTGCTGTTGTATAGTGCGCGAGTATGGTGCGTAGCTCAGGTATCCTTTATGGAATCGTCTTTGACAGCGCTGTCCTTGATAGAGGCGTCCTTGACAGAATCGTCTTGAATGAAACTGTCCTTGATCGAACCGCCCTTGATAGAACCGTCCTTGAAAGAGCCGTCCTTGCCAAACTTGTCCTTGGTGGGCGTGCTCGCTGGTGACAAGTTCTCGAAGTGGTCGACGAGAGACTTGATGCTGTCGCTGGTCTTACGTCTCCTAGTCTCAGTACCGCTGAACTGGCTGGGAGTGCGTACGATATGGTTACGAATAGGCTCAAAGGCGGACTCTTTGCGCCAGGGAACGGTTGGTTGCCAAGGTGAGGGCACTTCCCGTGCGGAAGTCGCGCCGAGGAATCTCTGGAAATCCGATGGCCTCAGAGACCTGGTGCTGTTCATGGACTCGGTATCGGTCTTGTCTTCGGTAGCCTCGGGTTCCTCCGTCTCTTGAGCGCCTTCAGTCTCCTGGTCGTCTTCCTCGGACTCGTCGGACTCCTCGACCTCGATTTCCTCTACATCTTGAACTTGCTCAGGCTCCTCGATCAGGCTGACGTCCTCAACGTGTCTTGTAGCCGCCCAGTCGGTAATTTCGATCATGGAATCCGCTGGGTGCTCATTGATGGCAGAAAGCGGAAGCTCATCTAGAGACCTGTGCGGAACGTCCGCGTCGTTGAGAGTCGAGATCGAAGGTGAGATACGTGGAGTCGGGTGACCCTCGACGGTAGCCTGCGAGCTGGTCTCGGAGAAGTCCTCGTCGCTGAACTCGTCGATGTACTCTTCGTTGCGATCGCCATCCACAGCCATCGTGCTGCGGTTACTGTCCTCACTCCCGACAAGAGTATCGCCATCGCCCTATACATATTAGCAAACTTACCAGCCAGCCTCCACCCCCTCCTCAAGGCCAAGCAAAAGAAAATTCGACGTACCTCAGGAACAAAGATCCTCCCAAGCACCGTCTCCATCTTTCCCGCCAGGCCCAGCACACTCGGACAAGCAACCTTCATGACCACCTGCTTCACCTCGCCAGAACCACCCGCATACTCAATCACACGACGCTCCTCCTCCAAATTGAACGCTTGAAAAACAACGCCTTTAACGACTTCTTCGCCGCTCCACTCACCAAAGTTTACCGCATCGAATGCGAGCGTGTTGGGTCCGTCGCCGGAGCGCACGGAACGTCGGTACCCGGCTATGCGTGCTTTGCGTAGCTTGGGCACGCGGGACAGCATGAGAGAGGTCTGTTGGAGCAGGAGGTTGGAGTTAGCGTGGGGCTTGTATGTGGTGAGTATGGTTGGGACTCGCTTTGAGCATCTTCTCAGTGACACCATCGCAAAGGAAATACGCGACCGGATAGCCGGTCGAAGCGGTCGGCTTGGCGTCAGCTTGTGATGCCATCGCGTGAGGGTCGTGGTGGTTGCCTGAGGCTGGTTGATCCATTGCGATTGCGGTTGCGATCGCGTGAGTCTCGAGTGATTTTGAAGTAAAGGTAAAAGGTGTGTGGGTGAGAAAACGGAAACGAGGTGAAGAAAAGCTGGAGGTGAGAGAGCGCGTAGGGAGCTCGGACCCTTTGTGCGACGAGGAGCAGTGAGTAGTGAGAGTGAAGATGTCCGTTTGTTGTTGTTAAGACGTGCGTTTGTCGCGCCGCTCTCTGTCGACTGGGAGACGCGAAGAGGCCGATAGCGGGCGTGGGAGCTATCCTATCTCACCTTCCCTAACCATCTTCATATCTCCATTAACGTATCGAGAATATCTGTTTGTTGCCAAGACGTGCGTTTGTCGCCCCGTGTATCGGCGGAGAGGTCGATAACGCACCTTCATATCCAATAGACCGAGATAAGAAGAGAACGATTACGGTATGCGATAGCCATCTCATCTCACCTTCACTGAACATCCTTTCAATGCCTTGTGCTCACATCACCATGACAACACGTTTTCGAAATGAAAAACGATAAAAGACAGAAAACACCATTCATGATATCCTACAATGTATGCACTTCGACGATGACGGAGAAAGTAAAGAGCATTCGCGCCTCGAAACCACACCCAGTTACATCCATCCCGTCCCCAGTACAAGTTTTCGCCGAGCAATGCTTATTCTACATGAAATGCGCAGCAAAGACATACACGAACGGATATTAGAGATACCCAAAGACGATTTCCGAAGAACTCCCTTGCTTTTTCTGTATCATCATGAACCAAAAAGACTGAGAAAACGATACCAAGAAAACCCTGAGCGTTCGTCACCCTTCCTAGCCCACCATGCTCACCTCGGTTTTCCCCGTCCCACGTACGTTTATCGTTGACCCGTTGTTTTGCCAGCCAGCCCAATGAGTCGTGATCCCGCAAGCGGTCGAGAAGTCGCCGAGTGATGCGTATAGAAAAGGTATTACACCGAGAAGGAAAAGAGATGACGGCCGTGTGGTTGATCCCAAGAGATATACACTAACCGTCGGACTACGCGGGGCGTAGGAAGAACGGCGGAAGGTTGTTGGTGCCTTGGAGGTACACTCGTGCTGAAAACGTCGAGATCTTGCCACCAGCTGCCTAAGCTAGCGGTCGTGGGCTCGACTGTGCATGTGTGAAGAGTGCATTGAGAAGTCGCTCAACCTTCAAAAGAAGACGAGTCAGTATGATTGGACAGAAGAGTAATAAGAAGATTACGTACTTCAGGAGCCGCTTTGACAAACGGCAAGTCCCAGAATGTGTATGTTGGATTCTTAAGGATTTCCAACAACGTGATGATGAGTCCCCATGGGTGAGGACGATGGACCAGCAGGCGCTCCAACAACACTCGGGTGATCGTCTCTTGGATTTCCAACGCCAACGAATCGTCGTTCGGCGGTCCGAAAAGGTGTAGCAGCGTATAGCTGTAGAAGTGAGTATGCGTGTTCGGGAAGCGGAGCTGGTTCGCGATGGCGCTAATGAAGTGGAACCTGGCTTCGGGGTGGAAGTCCTTGACGAGCCTCTCAATGACCTTGGTGGCTGGGCTCTCCGCGTCAAAGATCGGTACGCTGGCTGGGCCGGTACCTAGAGACGAGATTCCGATGTATAGAGTGATCGCATGTATCAACGTTGGGTTTGCGGTCGTTGAAACGAGCTCAAAAGCTGGCGACTGAGCCTCCGCGTAGTAAACAGCTTGACACACTTTATCAACATCCTGGTTCTTAAGGTCCGAGCCCTTGAGGAGGTTGTCTATAGCACCCTTGATACCTGCATCGGAAAGTACCTGCGCGATGTCGGCACGGATAACCGGGGCTTGAAGGTCGTGCTCCAGCCGGTCGGCCTTGAGCCCAGCCGTAAACGGGTCTGGCATCTCAAGGATCGTGGAAGGGTAGGCGCTGACGATGAGATTGCGCAGTTGCGTGCAGTGCATAGGGATACTGTTGCAGAATCGGAAGTGGTTCTCGACTAGGAACTCAGGGAAGTCATGGTGGATCACCAGTAGAACCCGCAAAACACCGCGGTAGAACTGTTCAGCCATGACAGTTTCTCCAGTTGGCTTGATGAGCTTCCCGGTGAAGATCAAGAGTGTTTCCACAAGCTGAGCGTAGACGTCCCATCGCTTGTCTCCTTGGCCCTCTTCCAGCATGGCAGGCACGAAGATGCGATGAGCGACTAGTGCCAGCCAAGAGAATGTAAATCGTTGGATGTGCGAGGGTTGGATGACCAACAGAGCCCTAGCGACTGCAAGGAAGACATCGGCCTTCTGGTCTGCTAAAGCCTCTTCCTTTACCGCATCGTTTAGATGGAAAAGGATGGCAGAGAACAGGCGGAAGAAGACCTTCTGATTGAAGGCATCGCCTCGTGTGCTGTGGTGGTTGCAGAGAACGAGCACTACTACGACGAGTATTTGATCCAGGTACCTAGCCTTGCTTTCTTTGACAGCTCCGTCTTGCTCGCCCTGATAGACGACGAGATCGACGACCAGCCGACCAAGCGCATCGATTTTGACTGTCGCAATGTCTTCGTTACCGTTACCGTACGGCACGGAGTGTTCCTGCTCGTATGCAGTCACTGAAGAGTCAATGCAGGTGCGGATGAAAGCAACTGAGGACTCTTGAGTTTCCATCACTTTCTGTTGATGGAGCTGGTAGATGAAAGCGCCGACCGTCTTCTTCGGCATGGGTTCCATCTGGAGATGTACCCACTCATCGAACACATACTCAAGCTGATCCTTGTGCCCAGAGGGCGGCGGTGTAAGCATTGACTCGGTGGAGGATGCCTGCAGGTTCGCGATGACGCGCTTTCCAAGCTCAAAGGATGGGTCCTCTGCTAGCCAGGTAGTAAGAGCGTCGATTGACATGGCGAAGTCGGCACGGAACGCACTCGGGTGGTCGTTGAGTAGGAGTTCCTCCATCAAACTGGACAACATCTCTACTGCGGCGACGCGTCGTTCTTGAATGGCTTTGGCGATGGTCGTGTTAAGACGGTGCATGTCCATCAGGCTGACCTCCATGAGAGCGATCATGACCGTGGACTTGAAAATTCTGTCATCATCGTGCAGAGTCGCTAACCACATGAGTACCTGCCGCGAAGTCTGGACGGACAATTGACAGAGATGGCTCAGTAGATGCGCCATGACTTCAACCTCCAAACGACTCAAAGAGTCGGAGAAGAGGTGGTTCGTGACCTGACCTGCAATGCGGAAAGCCCACGTCTCTTTGTTGGGTCCTGCATACTCAACGCTTGTGATGAGCTGATCGAAGACTTGGTGAACAGTGCTGTTACCAGGCTGAAGTTCGCTGATGCGTTCCTCTGGTGCCTCCTTGATGACGCGAGTGAGCTCAAGGAGTAGATCCTCAACACCTCGCTGGCCGCGCTCTAGACCTGGAGCTTCCATATAGCCGTTGGGTTGTTGTTGCGCTAAGGGTGCATGGGGTGTCTGAAGACTCTGTAGGCGGGGTTGCTGTGTTGGTTGACGCGGCTCTGCCGGCGCAGCACCCGGAGTTGGGAGGTTCGGTACCGCCGCGAATTGATCTTGAAGAACGTCTGGGAGCTGACGCCCACCGTCTTGCGAGGCGTTGTTGACGTGACTAGCACCACGTGACTGTCTACCAAACTCCTCGTAGATGGCCAATTGTTCGCGATTTAGACCACCAGGCATCTGTTTGTACGGTTCAGGGATGTAGAATGCCCATGGGCTGATGTTCGCATCCTTGAAAGGCTCATTTGGACGGGAGCTGCGGAACATGCGACGGACGCGGACGGCATCCTCAATCTGCATGTCAATCTCTGCGAGAGACGACATCTCAGCAGCTTGCTCGACCGTGTTGCAGACTAGATCGAGGTTGTCGTTGACAAACATGAGGATGTGTCCCTCTGGAAGAGCTTGGTCGGGGAGGTCTCGAGCGGTGACGCGGATGTTGTTCTGAATGCTCATGCGTAATGGCTCTTTGCAGGTGACAAGAGCCAAAGCACCGGAGAGAGCCTTTACAACAGTGTGTGCCGCATTGCGCAGCTTCTCCTCATCTGGTTCCATGGCAAAGTCTTTGTTGATCAACTGCGATGTCGAGATGGCGGCAATGGTAACGGAACGCTCTACTACAGGTGCGATGATCTCTTGGATGGCTTGGTTGACAGCAGTAAGGAAGATCTTCTTCAGTGCCGCTGGAGGGACCGCACTGTTTCCAGAAGGTGGGTATTGGAGCTGGTTCGTGAAGTCGGGCAGAGCCGCGGTGATAGCCGCTGACGAGAAGCGCTCGTTGGGGCCTCGGGTGCCACGGTTCAGGCTCATAATGGAAAGATCGCCAAACGCTTCCATTCCATCAGTAACCATGGATCCCAGGAATTCCTCATCCGCGGGTGGTCGGCCTCGGATACTGTTTGTAGGATCAATGTTTTTGTGATCAAGTTCCAAGCCTTTGCAGAGAACTTCGATCTCGAACTTCTGATTGAGTTTCAGATCGGCGAAGTGGTAGAGTTCCATGAGAACTCCCAACATTTCCATGAGCCAAGGATTGGGGGGCTTGAAGATTGTAGACTTTTGGGCCTGTACAAGTACTTTGCAGGTAAAGGGAATCACAAGCAGAAGACGATCGGTGTCGTAGCCCTCATGCAACAGATCCTTGAACGAAATGTTACGGAACTTGATCGGCTGGTCGCGGGCGATTGTCAATGAGCCAAGCCAAGAGCCTAAATTCTTGAGATGGCCACGCTCTGTGGAGCCCAGCGTGGAGTCGGTATTGAGCATGCGAATGACGCTTGAGTACGTCTCACGGAGCACCTCGGCCCAGAGTGTCTTGTCGTTGAAGAGATCTAGCATATCGAGGTACAGCTGCTGGAAGTTGGGTTGCATCTTGGCACGCTCCTCGACGAGATAGTTTGCGAACCATTGGTGATGCCTTTCCTCGACGGCTTCAGTGAGGTCGTTGATCTTATCGCGCAGATTACGCTCGGAAACGTTGTTCAATACGAACAAAACCTTGTCCTGCACGTCCTCATCTGGGTCCTCGTAGAGCTCAGGGCGGAGAGGGGGGTCGACGTAGAGGCAGGAGAACTTGGGTACAGCCGGCTCCTGGTGCAGAGCTTCATCGATACCGTTACCGTTCGTCATGCCTATGCCGTTGTGACCGTCACCGTTCACTTCACCGAGCTGCTGACCTACGACTTCTTCAGCTTTAATAAAAATCTCAGTTCCTTGGAGCCCAGGGACAATGAGAAGCTGATCGCAGTAATTGGGCCACTCAGAAAGTCGGTTCGAGAAATGAATCAGAGCTTGGAGTCCAAACTTGTACATACTGTCTTCGGGTCTGTATTCCTGAACAGCTTCTAGAACCATAGCCAATCCAACCTGAAGTGCAATTCGGGACAAGAGGTTGAAGTTGATGATACCCCCGAAAAGCACAGCAGTCGTGGCTAAGGCCTCTAGAGGATATTCCCCGAAGCAGTTGTACTCGTCGAAAAGGCCATGAATCATGCACGCGAACAGTTCCTGGTCTGCGGGGTCGCGCGATTCTTTGTACTTCTTGAGTGCGGAGATGATGTCTCTGACGTCGCTATCGCCGCTGTACATGTTCTTGAAATGCTCCTGCATCTTCTTGTCGGCATCGTCTGGAAGCGAGTTTCCATTCTGCCCGTTGGCATCGATGATGTCATCCACGCCTTCGCCATAATTGATTAATCGCGGGTACGCCTGAATGCAGTTCCTTTGGAGGGGCAGCAGCTCGGGCTCGGGTAGACCACAGTCTGAGAGGAATCCAAGCAACGGGTATACTGTCTTCACTGCGAGTGGCAGATTGAGAGGTAGATGGTCGTCTCGTGCTCGTTGCATCTCTTCCGCAGCCCGCGCACTCAGAAAGTTAGTCAGGATGCGACGGAATAGAGGTCCTGCCTGGTCGAAGGTCTGTTCCAGCCATGGCTGGAGATCAAACTTGCCGCGCGCATGAGCTTGTGCAGCCAGGTCCAAGCTGATGTCAGTATTACTGCGAATCAGTTGCTCTAACCAGTTGTTCGTCTCGGCGTGCTCGAGCACCAGGGTGAGGGTCATCGAATCGGCGTTGTACGCGTCAACAAAGCGATCGGTAAGCCATTGGAAATCCTGCTTCCAAAGACCATAGAGGACAAAGTTGTAAATGGGCAGCTTCTTCTGGAAGTAAGGATCAAACAGCTGTTTCAGTGCTTGTTCCTGCAAGGCACCCCAGGGTTTCGGTACTGCCGCTGCCGCTACCAGGAACTCCGCTGTGTGTGGATTAATCACCAAGTCGGGTATGCCCATGAGCTGTGCGGTGTGATATGTCTCGGACGTCTGGAAGATCATGTTGAATAGCGCGGCGGTCGCGTCGAGCGAAACGAAGGGATGCTTGACGGCTTCTTCTGCGAATGACTTGGCGTCGTCGGAGGCGTTCTCGAATGTCTTCATCGAGTACGAAGTGCGCAACCTGGGAATCTGGGTCACGTCCAGCTCTTGCCGTGTAGAAGACAGGAAAGCGACTACAAAGTACAGCTGCGTCAAGTCGTGCTGCCATTGTCCTCCCCATAGTGTCTGTATGTCGAACTTCTCGTTGTCCTGGGCGACGGGGAGCAGCGCATTGTAGATGGCCAGAAATTGGTGGCGCTCGATGCGCAGGTGATCGCGGTCGAATGCCAAAACAACGTCCTGCCAGTCGATTCTCTGTCCGGTCCGGTGTTCGCGCAGTGCAGCTACAAAGTTCTTGGCATTGTATCCGGTGGAGAGGGCGAGGTAAAGGAGCACCGCCGCGACTTGCTGGTAGCTGATGTCGCGCGTTTCAGCTGACGCGAGCACCTCTTTGCATGCCTCCACCGTAGCTGTGCCTTGCGGACCTGCCTGTCGTACAAGCTTGACCAGCGGGTTCCGCGAGCCGTCCGTGAGCTCGACGAGTATCAGTTTCGATTCGACGATGCCGGGGATCTGTTGGTGTGTCTGCTGGTATCGCATCTGGACGGCGTACGCGAGGCTCATCTTCTTCTCTTCGTCCCACCCCTGTGGCGGATCTTGTAGGAGGCGTTCAACGAGAGCGGCGAGGTATTCGTGGCTCATGTCCTCTGGCTGGGTGGGCTGCGCAATGGCCATTAGCAGGTCGTCGCCGACGGTGGAGAGGACGGCATCGGCTAATGAGAGTTAGCGTGAGAGTCAATTGGGAGGTGAGAGAGCCCACCTTTGCTCCGGAGATCTGTCTTCCTGCAAGCGAGGGCTAGCATCGTCTTTGCGACAGAGTCAAGCTTGAAGTGGGCTATGAAGGCGGACAGGTCGAAGTCGCGGAACAGGTCGCCCTCGCTGGAGCTTATTGACTCTGCAATCTTGTCTGCCTGCTCGGGCTCCTTCCGTATCTTGTGCACCTCGGTGAGGAGGATCTGGTAGCTGCCGTTGGGGTCGGCGCTGCGGGCGCCGGTGCCGAAGATGGTGGCTGCATTGTTCTGCAGCACGCGGCGGAAGTATTTGGAAAAGACCTCCATGCCGTTGGAGTCGACCAGCTGGCGGCGCGTCAGTAAAGTACCAATGAGGCAGGGGCGATGGGATAACGAACCTTCCTGATCTGCTCGGTTTGCGTGTCCCACTTGGCGCGGTCTTTGTCGTCCTTTACGGGGCCAAACTGACTGAGCAGCAGGAATACCTGGGCGATGACAATGCGGGAGAGGTTCTGCGAGGACGCGCCGGAGGGGTTGCTGGCGGTGCTGGGGGAGCCCGTGGTGCTCGAGGTGGAGAGCGAGGGCGAGGCGCGGACAAGCTTGGAGGCTCCTCCGCCGCTACTTGACTGTGCACCGGCGCCGTTGGTAGCGGCTGCGGCGGAGGAAGCCAGGTGCTGTGCAGCGTGGGGCGCTATGGTCCTGGGTCCTCTCGAGGACAGCAGCTGGCTGGCGGGGAGCTGCTGTCCTGCGGCGGGCGGGAAGGGCGACGAAGTTATCGAGGCGGCCGACGACTTGCGGCTGCGGACCAGGCGCTGCGAGACGGACGATGGCGGCAGCGAGGGGAAGTTGGAGGCGGCAGGCGACTGGCTGGGCCGCGAGCTGCTGGGCGAGGGCGTGCTGGAGTTGCGCTGGTCGTGGGCAATTGCGGTCGAGATGGGCGAGGGACGTGTGCTTTGGTTTGGTCTCGGGCCCCAGGGGTGTTGCTGGCTCATCGAAAGCGTCTTTCCATGAGTAGCGCGTGGCAGGCGGGGGAGGGGTGGTGGTGATGGCGTGGGCGTGGTGATAGACTGGATGGATGTTCACCCTCGCCCGTGTAGGAAAGCGATGTTCTTGGCAGAGTTTAGTAGACCTGACACGTTTGATAGACAACTCGACCACGAAACATTGGAATGGCAGTCTATCGATTAGCTACTGAGACTCTACTGATCAAAGACATTTAATTGCCATCACACCACTATTGCGCTCATTCCGACGATGAAGCTGTTCATGACGCTCCAGGCTACCTGCTGCTGATACCCCACACTCCGCCTAACGACATGACTGTGTCCATCCTGTCCAATTCCCATGCCACATTCCTCCCTCATCGGCGAGGGTACCCTGACTTTGACGTATTTTATCACATGACTTGGAGATTGTCAATGGTTCCTCCAAGGTTGTCATTGATGCAGTCTGGGCATCCTCAGCGAACTGCAGCTGCACGACTTCCAGCCCACAACAGTGTAGACGACAGGCACGATGCATACTCTGCATGCAGCACACAACAGCTTAACACAACTGAGCATGCACTTTGCTAAAGTATGTTTCTCGGAGACATTGAGCTGATGCCCGACGCAGCCCCTTGCCCCGGCTTGCTTGTTTGCAGTATGACGATGGTTCTAACACGGCCACGCGATGCATTAGTCCGCGCGAACACATCAAGAAAGGCAGCACAAGAAAAGAATATTCCCAATAACAAGCCGAAGTATCAATAGGGGTGATAGGCTGACCTGCACGCCGTGGTTCGTCATAGTGCTGGGGTTAGCGCTCCTAGGTACCCCTCGGCGCTCGCGTCGCCTAGGTGATGTTGCTGGCCGTCAACACAGCTGTACACCGCCAGCACATCCTGGTTTACCGTCAACACCTGGCTCAGTCGCTCGACTGCATATCCGATATCCCCATATTCTTCCCCCACCCACATGCGAGCATTCGCTTTCTCGCTCAATCTGCCCGCCCCCTCAATTTCCCTTCGCTGAAGCAGTAAACACACGCGCCATGGGTGGTGCAGCGACGGAGCCGCCTTCGGTCTCCCTATCGTGTATGTGAATTGCCTACTCCTTTACTTCACCCATACTGACGATTGCAGTCGCCAACAATTTCTGGGGCAAAGATGACGCCGGCGTCGGTCCTATGCTCGACCGCATGCATGCGGCCAAGGTCACCAACGACGAACTCAAGAACTTCTACGCAGCCCGCTCAGCAATTGAAGAGGAATACTCGCGGAAACTCCTAAACCTATCGCGCAAGCCCCTGGGATCCTGCGAAACCGGCACCCTGCGACTGTCGTGCGATGTCATCCGAGCCGAGGTCGAGTCCATGGGCAAGGCGCACCAGAGCATAGCACAGCAGATGAAGACAGAGCTAGAAGAGCCACTAGCCGCTTTCGCTGGTGGAATGAAGGAGCGCAGGAAGATCGTACAGAACGGCATTGAGAAGCTGCTCAAGCTGAAGATGCAGCAGACGTCGACTGTCAACAAGGCACGCGACCGGTACGAGCAGGACTGTCTCAAGATCAAGGGTTTCCTAGCGCAGGCGCACATGGTCATGGGACACGAGGAGCGGAAGAACAAGGCAAAGCTCGAGAAGACACAAATCAATCTGGCGACGACCAGCAGCGAATACGAGGCCGCAGTCAAGGTGCTCGAGGAGACCACCGGCAGATGGAACAGGGACTGGAAAGCCGCCTGCGACAAGTTCCAGGATCTCGAAGAGGAGCGCATCGATTACACAAAGAGCAGTCTCTGGAACTTCGCCAACATTGCCTCCACAGTATGCGTCAGCGACGATGCCGGATGCGAGAAGATGCGCCTGTCCCTCGAGGATTGCGACGTAGAGAAGGACATCAGCGGCTTCATCAAGGAGTCCGGCACTGGCCAGGAGATCCCCGACCCTCCCAAGTTCATCAACTTCTGCAGAGGAGACGCCGAGACCTCATCGCAGGTTGACGAGGACGAGAACTACTCAGTCGCCCAGTTTGCTAGGACCTTGAACCCATCCTACCGCGCTTCATCACCAGCGCCATCTACATTCTCCTCGCATCACGATCCGAACAACCCACTGGTACGAGAGCTAGGTCTCCCACAAGAAACACGCCCGATCGCTCCTGACGATCTACTACCGCGACAGTCCTTGGACCGACCACCACAGCGTCAGTCTATAGATATGCCTCGACAATCTGTGGAATCATTCAGACAGCCAGTGGAACCACCGCCTCCACTTATGGATGAACCCCGCAGGCGTGGAGAGTCTCCCCACCAACAGGCAGAATCTCCCCGACAGTATGCACAATCAACTCGGTCGCGTGCCCAATCCCGATCAAATGGGGACTACCAGCATCAGCAGGTCGAGCCGCTGAGACAACGTGCAGAACAGCCTCAACCGCACGTGCAGCCTTTGAGACAACATACAGACCCGCCAAGACAGCAGCAGCAGCACATCGAGCCTTTGAGACAACATACAGACCCACCAAGACAGCAGCAGCAGCACATCGAGCCTTTGAGACAACATACAGACCCACCAAGACAGCAGCAGCAGCACATCGAGCCTCTAAGACAACAACACCACATTGAACCTCTGCGACAACATGTGGAGCCACCAAGGCAACCAGAGCCACAGCAAGCCCCTCCATCCCCACAAGTTGCGCGCGCAGTACAGCCAGATCCTCGATTGGTTCAGGCACAGCAACAAGCTCGTCAACAATACCAGCAGAGTCAAGTCCCACACAACGACTATCCTTCGGATGGTATGACACAGTTCTGCCGCATCGATGCGCCGTCTGATCGCAGCTCGATCCCAAGTCCCGCTCGACCTGCCAGTAGGGATTCACAGAGCGATTACTCCAACCCCACGTCTTTCTCTAGCATCGAGCCTCCAAGTGGTTCAGCATCTCCTGGCAAGCCAATGCCACAGTCACCGTTGCCTGAACCTAGTCCGATTGAAGAGGGTTCAGTGGCAAAGAAGAGGGGCTTCTTCAACAGCCCCTTCGCACGGAGAAAGAGCAAGCACGAAGTCGAGACTCCGGCAGCTCTTACTCCTGCCAATCGCAATCGCAACACATGGGCACCTCCCGCGCGCAGGAACACGGAGGAGAACACCAGCCCCACCAAGAGTTTTGCTACTAGAGCTACTCCTCGCAATGCTATACAGAGTCGCGCTCCCTCGCCCAGCCCTGAACCAGCTGATCCTCGTGCCAACTTCCAGCTCAACGTGGGTAACAACGTTTTCGACGTGGCCTCGCCGGATAAGAAGAAACAACAACAGCAGGAAGAGTCGCAAGAGGATCTTGATCCAATTGCGCAGGCCCTTGAGGAGCTAAGAGGTGTCACTAAGCAGACGTCTGTTCGTCAGCAGCCAGATGATCGCAAGCAGGCTTCTTCTCGCCAGACTGCTGATCGTTACCATGGTCTCGCAACGCCTGCTCCGGGTACACCTGCTGTCGGGTCGAAGTTGGCAGGTGGTGCACCTACTCCTCTTTCTAACGTTGACTTGAGCGCTGCAAAGCGAGGCACACCTCCACCAACATACGAGCAGCCAAAACGCGAGCAGCCGCCTCCCCAGCCTCGTGAGCAGCCGCGCGAACAACCACCTATGTCTCACCTGGGTGCTCCTAAGCCAGCGCATACTTCGCGCGCTATGCAGAAGACGACTCAGATGTATGTCAATCAGAAGGTGAGCATGTTCAACGGAAGTCAGGCGTCTCGATCCTCCAGCCGCAGCCCTACAAAGCAAGAGCCCCCACGTGTTGCATCTCCAGCGCAGCCACCTCGAGCTATCAGTCCTCGACCAACCCTCAATACATCCCAGAACTCATATCGCTCATCTGGGGGGCAATCACAGCCATCATCGCCTTCGACATACCAACCTGCGCAACGACAGCAACCACCGGCATCGCAGCCCGCACCAAGAGCGCAACCCGCTCCACGTCAACAACCTGTAGCTCAGCCTGCACAACGGCCGCAACCTGCACAACAACCAACGCCACGACCGGCATCGAGGCTACAGCAACAGCAGCAGCAACAACAGCAGCAGCAGCAAAGGCCTCAACAACAAGCCCCTCCCGCAAATTCGTTCAGCCGGACCGCATCGCCCAACCCATATGCGGCATCAAATGCTGGGGGCAGGCCTAGAGCACAGACAGCTACTGCCGCCGCACAAGCATACGGTACACCTGTAGGACGTAACTCGTACTCCTCGAACCGTGGCCCATCCCCCAGTGTCAACCCCACCCCACGAACTGCCTCGCCCCTTCCACCACAACAGCCCCCTCAACCAGCCTACGCGCAATCGCAATCGCGCCCAGCATCTCGAGCAGCCCCCGTCTCGCGAGCCGCAAGCCCCAACCCACAATTCCGCCAATCCCAAGAACGACCCGGCAGTTCCCACAGCGGCATGGCTCTCGCACTCTCCACCGCAGGCAGCGAGCGCGGCGACGGCAGCGTCTACGGCGGAAGCCAGTACGGAGGCAGCGTACGTGGTAGACCCGGTACTGCTTCTTCCGCCCGGCCCACGACAGCCAGTTCAGCTCGACCAGGCACGGCTAGTACCGCCCGCCCGCAAAGCTCCTACATGGGCGGCGGCAGCGCAGGAAGCGAATTCGGCTTCAGCGGCGGGTCTGGTGCTGGTTCCGTGAGAGCGGAGTCCAGAGCTAGAAGCAAGAGTTTGGCTGAACCGAAGAACTATAACAGCCAGGGCAGGGTTATTTTGAACTACTGTAAGTTTTACCATTCATGTTGATGATGAAGGACGTCGGCTAACGGATCATGACAGCACGTGCGATGTACTCGTATGCAGCGCAGATCCCAGAGGAACTGGGCTTCCAGAAGGGCGATATCCTTGCTGTGCTTAGGTTGCAGGATGATGGGTGGTGGGAGGCTGAGCCTGTGGGGAATACGGGTCGACCTGGTCTTGTGCCGTCGAACTATCTGCAGCCGTGTTGAGTCATGCGACTACCTGGGTTGACGAGGTTCGAGGAAAGGAAAGGATGGATGGAAGGTTCTTGATGGTTTCGACCAATGTCTTTTTTGGTTCTGATCTAGCGATTTTGCTTGCACATACCCTCGTTCTATCGTTTGGCGTTTGCGGGATGGATCTTTTGCAGGGACGAGCGAACGAACGAATGCGGATGCGAGATGAATGGGAGGAAAATGAGATGGAATGGAACGGGCATATATAGCCAAACGTACATAGCACTCGACCGTACAACGAACAGAATGAGAAACTTGTACATGCCACTCTTGACACACACTTCCATTTGCTTCAAGAGAAAGTATGAGCTTGTGATCACTACACAGTGGTAAAAGATATGGCTCCGAGTCAGGTTGAAAGCGGACTGTGTAAAAATGAAGTTTGGGTATCTACTCAACTGAACGCCTGTCATGCTCGCTTGCTTGTTTCCCACAATATGCAATCCATCCATACGCCATATCTCATGCCTCCACTTCTTGCATATCCTCTCTCCTCCCACTGACATCCCCCTACTCATAGGTATTCTCATACGGATCCGCATCATCAATATCCTCATCCTCGCCATTATCAAAATACTGCTCCGCATTGTAATCATCATCGCTTTCCTCTGAATCCGTACTGGCGGCGCTCCAATTATCCTCTTCATCAACCGCATCGGGTTTCTCCTCGTCGATCTCGTCGTCTTCGGCTTCGGCGTCGTCGTCGTCTTCTTCGGCGCGCGCTTCGGCTTCGTTGGTGCGCTCTTGTTCGGATTTTATGAGGCGCTCGATTTGGGAGACGCTGCTTACTTTTGTTACGGCGAGGGTGCGGCGTGCGGGCTTTTTGGCGTTGGAGGTCGAGGTGCTGGTTGTGCCGGTGAGGGTTGTGCGGAGTTCGGTGGGGAAGAGGTCGACGACTGCGTGGTGTGTTAGTCCTATGGTTGCTGAACAGCGAGTGTGCAGAGAGACTTGCCGTATGGTCGCGCGTCTAGCTTTGGGAGGCGCCGGCGCACTTTTAGGTATTTCGCGGAGTAGGTCTGGTTGCCGGTGAAAGGATCGAAGAGGGAGGCTTCGGTGGGGGCAGGCTCGTTGGCCTTGCGCTTCAGGCCGTTTTTCATGCCGTCGTTGAGGATCGTGTAGAAGGGGCCTTCGTGGATGCGGTCCCGGACTGCGAGGTGGTGCTTTACCATGGCTAGCTCATCGTCGGTTGGTGGAGGCGCTTGGGGAGGTGGTGCTTCCTGTGTGTGGCTTAGTGGGTGAATCAAGGATGCGCTCTTGAGTGTCGTGCTGGTGGACTGCTGCGACTGCGACTGCGGATGCGACTGCGATTGGCGAGGCATGATAATTGCGACAACATTATATAGACATGCGCAGTGCTAGTAGACATGCGCGATGCCATAGAAAACATGCGCAGAGCAGTCGCGATACGGCAGATGGGTATGCGACGGAGAAAGGGAGATGCTCACTGGAAAGCGCTCGGCAGGGCCCTTCTGGATGTCGAGGCCAGTAAGATCCCAGTTGAGCTCCGTTCCCGCAATCGTCACGGTTCCTCGCGCGGGATTGAAGGCACCTCCGCGCGAACCTCCGCGCCCACCACCTCGTCCTCCTCTTGCTGGCGGCATGTCAAGTTTCTTGTGTTATACGAGTCGCTTTGCTTACTATGATTTTTCTTTTACGGCAGGTCGATCAGGCGTCGTCGAGGGAGACTTTGAGGAGAGTTGTGGAGTCAGAAATTATTTCGGTGCAGTTGCGACCGGCTTGCTAGGCTGAGCTCGAGGGTGGGGTCCCAATAGCGAACTTGCACCCGCAGCCCCGCCACCTCTACCCTAAACCCCGGTATTCAAGTGCACGACAATAGGAACGTTCGGAGCGATACCAAGTCATCTACAGCCCAGAACTAGATGCATATCGAGTTATAGCGACCCAGCTTGAGGTACAGTCGCAGTCCAAGCAGTCAGCACTCGCCGCCATCACCGCGCATCAGGCTACAGGGAACGCGTGCATCCGTTACGCGCAATCACATGAGCGGCCTAGAACCTTCTCTTACACTATAACCGCCACGCTCGAGCCAGGACTACCATCGAGAACGTCGACAGTCCAACTTCTCCAAGATACACTACATCCAGACCCTCAAAATGGCCGCATCGACTGCTACGCTCAGCGAGCTGTCAGAGCATCTACAAAAGGTCGACCAGGATCCTACCACTCCGCTCGATACAGATCTACTTGAGCGATGCGAGCTCTCCACCAATACGCCAGAATACCGTAGCCAAATATGGAAAGAGACGAGACCGCTCTTTCTGCAGATGGCGGCGTTACTACCAACGCTTCAACAAGATCCCACGCCACTCACCCACTTCATCATCAAGCTGGCGGAACCATATCGATTTGACGATATTAAAGACATTGATTTCGAGATCGGTCTTGATCTGAAGGCTACTCCATTTCACAGTCTCATCCTTACTTTGCTCGAGAAGGCCACCACAAGTAGCACCGATGCTCAAGCACTTGCGAATCGGCCAGCGGTCATACTGGCCGTCGTCCGTCTGTGGTTATGCACCCAAGATGCTGGAGTCGCTACTAAAGCCGAAGAGCTTCTTACTTCCTTGTTAGAAGTGTCGAAGAATGAGCCCGTATCGATAGATGGCAAGTCGTCGCTACATACATATGGCACTGGTCCTATGTGGAGGCGTCTATTCAGCGACAGAGACATTAGTTCACTGTACTACCATTACACATCTCTGAAGGACCTCACATCGCCACCTCAGCCACTTCTGAACAAGCGTGACAAGACCATTTCACAGGCTAGACTACTGTCATGGCTACCGCGCGTCGCCGCTATGGACTGGAATGCCGTCACTTCCTCGTACGGTCTGGAAGCTGAAAAGGAAGTCGGACTTAAGGAAGGCCAAGGCTTGCTGCACTACGCTGCACTAAAGATGGTCGACACGGAAGATGATATGCTCATGCATATGACCCTGCTCCAATTCTACAGCACATTGATCACCACGGTCAAAGCAAAGCCCCACCTCTCACACTACGACTCAAGTCTTGCTCTGGATTTCCTCATAGAAGAAGGCGTACACAAAGGCATCGTCGACTTCCATACCTCAAACAACCCCAGCCTTGACCACTCTTTCTTGAGCAGTCGGACAGCTCAGTATATCAGCGACTACGCATCGCATTACCCAGAGAACTTTGAGAAAAGCAGCGAGATGCCCACTATCCGGAATTACGTACACCGCAACATTCGCAAGTGCGAAGCAAGCGACCTGAACATTATTGCTTCAATGCCTCGATCAACGCTTATACCGCAAAAAGCTTCAGGACCATCCTGGGATGATTGTGTCATTACCGACATGCCAATAACGCGGACGAATCAAGATGCGCTCAAGACACTTGCAACCATCTTCCACGGTCCCACAAAAGAAGAGATTACTTTCCCACAAACCGAAACTATAGGTTCAGACAGCAAACGCACACAGACCGAAGCAGCATACGCCCGCCTCCTCACCGCCCTCTTCTACATGAAAAAGCCAAACATGTTCGCCGACATAACCACACACATGGAAACCATCGCCATGAAAGAAAATGCCCTCGCAGCCTTGACCCTTGTCGGCGCCCTCATCACATCAACTTGGTCCACCGAGCCACTCCCCAACATCCCCGCAAACGATCCAACCTACGCCCGTCTCAACGCCTTTTCCAAATCCGGTATCGATCTTATTCTGGACCCTACTATTAGCGGTGGCGTCCTCCCTTCACTGCTCAAGCCAGCGACGACCTTTTCCAACCTCGTTGGTGGACGCGGCGATGCGGAGAACGCGGCGTATATCGTTGCGACGGCGAAGTTTGAGGTGCTGAAAACACTGGGTAGGAAGTTGGAGCAGGATGGTGGGAGGCAGGATGTGCTGGCTATGGTGAGGAGGAGGGTTGGTGATGGGGTTTGGGGCGATAGCGGGAATGTGGGGAGTCGGATCGGGACGCTAGAAATGTAAGAGTGGGGTGTCTGTAGGTTGTTGCGCAAGGAACACGTTTGAGGTCACATAGCAATTAAAATTCTCGAGATCAGTATCTACAACTTAACGACTTCCATGGCTATAGACCATCACATCGCGATAAATCAAAATGAAACCCCCGCTTTGACCATACTCTGGACCCTTGAATGTCTCTGGTACGTCCTAAATCTACTTTTGCGAATGATTACACCCCCAAAATGATGATTGGGTCCAAGTTCCTCTTCACGATCGCTACCAGCAAGAGTCGCCCACACACCGAGACCGATTACAGTGGCACGAGAATCTCACAGGAGGCCTGCATGCTACTTGACATGACCACTATTTTAGGCTGTCAGACATGCAGGTGGCAATTCAAGCCATCTTGAAGTTTATCTCAGCAAGCCTGACAAGGAAGGCGCACTCCACAAGACCGAACAAAAGCTTGGTTCTCGCTTCTATTACCGCCAGAAGCTAGTTAAGCTTTGTGGCTGGATAAGCTTAGGATGATCTGCTGCCGCGCGTCCGTCCTTCGTGATTGTTGCATCACTTTGACTGCCTTGGGGCTGTCGCATGATCGTTGCGAGAGATCTTGCAGTCGGAGAAAGCCTATGAGCATAGTTCATGAATCATCAGCGGCACATACAGTATAGCAGTGCGAAAAGTATCATGAACAGCGGTTATGGACAAGCTCGAGCGATGCCAGTGTCGTGAAACGCTCAAGTTCACGAGAACTTCGCACTCAACACCGGACCGGCCTTCCAAGATCGAGATACTCTGGTACACGATAAGGAATAAGCTAACAATGTACTAGCTATACCGTAATGGCATGCCATGGAGCTGGGCCGCCGCATCGGGGGTCATCTGCCCGGCCCGGAAGTGGAGCGTTATGGACCACAGCGTGCACTCCTTGCCCGAAGCAAAGGAACATCGATATCGGATCTTACATCAGTACTCATAGTGCATTCGCCATCGTCATTTCTTCGCTGCTGACCTCAG